GTCTTACTCTGTTCTTTGTACCTACTCTTACTAAAATATTTCTGTATTAACTTCCTTTGTGTTGTACAGTTATCAAAGCAGCCAGGTTGTAAGCAGTTGATGTAAACCTAATGAAATCAAATGAATGAATGTCCAACTTCCTAATGGATTACAGAAGTCAGTCAAAAGTTCAATTTTGCAGCATTTAGTTAATTCTGACCACTCTACTTCACTAGAAGCGTTTTCCCAAATTATACATATAGTCTGAACAGTCTGCTCAAGAGGAATCCATATGGAAAACTTATATATAGCAGAAGCTATTGCTGTTCACCAGTTCAGGCCTAACCTTTGAGTATAAAAGACAGTGTGTTCAGTCTATCATTTTTGCATGGCCCTAACCTTCATTTCTATCTTCTATAATCTATCTTTTTTAATTATTATTTCTAATTATTTTCACGTCTATTGATTAGTAGTTAGTAAAACTCTTAAAAGCTATCAAGTAAACAATTATGTTCACCTAAGCACTTTTCACTGGACAATTATTACGTAACTCCTTTTCAATATCTGATTGTCGTAAATAATTCATGACAAGATAACACTTCAAGCTATCTTAATTATTCAATCTCATTTTATTTTGCTACATACTACTACTTTAATGAATAAAATTAACTATAAATACAATTGTACAGTTCAAGTAAATGGAATCATTGAAAAGGAAACTTTCTTCGCTGAATTGCCTTCATTCGTTCATGATGTCGTTCTGCCTAAGTCAACGTTCTTGCTCTTCATGATGTCTTCCCTTTCTGACAATGGTGGGCGGTGACGCAATCTCGTGGATTGATTGAAGTTAGACATTAACACTGTTGGATGCTAGATCAGTGGTCTTGTGGTCAAGCGTTCGCATGCAAGACCGAAGGTCTTGAGTTCAAATCTCGCTAGCGCGGTCCTGGATACACACTGTTGTGAAGTCCTATATTATGACAACACGGCCTTACAGTGCTTCCGGGTTATCCATGGTAATCTAGCTTTAATCGACTCATGAATTCAACTATTAAATATCCTTTTGACTATATATAAATCTGTTTTAAGACTTTTGATAGTAATGGCTTTGAGAAAAAAAATGCGATATTTTTGAATTTGTTTGCTTATTTATAATTTAAAATGATTTTGAACGTTACTCTGGAGTCCACGTAACTTTACTAAAAGTTTTTCGGTAGTATATCGCCATCTGTTTATGCAATTTTCTTCTAGGATATTCACGTTATTTAACATCGAAATATTCAATCATGTGAAGATCAATTTTCATTGATGAGAACGTTTCTGACATTACGATTTAAAGTGTGTACACAGTTTTGTGTTTAAACAAATTATACAATTAATTCTAGGGCGTAAGAAGCTAAATAGAGATTCTATGGAGGGAATGAATTCACCTCTGTTTGACTTAGCCCTCAAATGCCCCGGTACGACCGACAATGGGGAGAGTCAGCTCTCCCTCTCGAAATGCTCTCACATGGCCACGCGTATATACCATCTACCAGAGACGTTCTACTCACTGCATTCTTGCAGAATTAGTTGTTTACGAAATTGAGAGGACGAAAAGCGAATGTCTGGCGCTTTAACCTGGTTGGCGGGTATGCAGAATTCACCTTGAGGAGTTTGAAAACCGTGATTTCAAACCAATGGTGTACATGGGCCATAGGATCCTGAGTGAACAAATGGCGTATTAGCCAATTATTGATCACTGGCTACCATGATACTTCATCTCCTTACGTTGCTCCACTGCCTTATGGATTTTACTTGTAGGTCGAAGGCTGTTGCTGTGTCCCCCCTAAGAAAACCACCTGCTGCGGTCTAGGCATCGAGGCAGTATCATAGCCCTCACACATATTAAATGAGATCAGTGTGGCGCATATGTATTTGGTGCCCCCTTTTACCAATATTTATGTGTTCAAATAAATAAATAAACTATTCGACTTAAATAAAATATTTTAGTTTACGAAGTTTAACAATGTTTAGTCGAAAGTAGTTTAACAGCTACTCAATAAAATAAATCAGTAGTATTTCACATATTACTTAAAGAATAAAATCTGTATTAAATAATGAATGTTTCACATTGGTGAAAGCTGACAATTAAACAACCATCCAATGGACAACGTCCGGATAGGTTAATTTATCTTATAATCCAAGTGTTATTATAATCACAATACAAACTACTATTGGTCAAGTCTTTCAACATATAAACTAAATTAATGAAACTTATTCATTAGATAAGAACAATAGAACAATTATTAATTTATTTTGGTGATATCAAATACCTCAGCAACAACAACAACAACAACAACAACAACAAAATGTCAAGACTATTATCGCTTATTCTTCAACCTATTAGTATTGCATTTATTGTTTTAGGATTTTTAGTAGATCGTTGGGGATGTGGTCGATTACTAGATTCTTGTTTACATTATTATAAAACTGCTACAATCATGTTAATGTTATTCTTAATTATTGGTATGTCATTTTTAATTGTTGCATTTTCACTTGACTTAGCAACAATTATCTCTTCATCATTAGATTTAAATGCAACATACAATTCTATTAAATTAATTTTATTACTTGTTGGTTTAACTGGAATTTTTTCAGGTATTTTAATTTGTGCTGTTAAAATAGAACGGGATTATTCTCAATTAATATGTGTTATTGGTATTGTTATAGCTTGTCAAGTTGCTTTACTTAATTTATTTTTATATCCTTGTTTTTTCGAGAAGAAAACTAAAGTAATAGTAGCAGAAGCAGTAGCTAAGTAAATGAATATATATATATATACATGAATTAATACTCTCTGTTAGTTACTACCCCATCCCCATCCCCCCCAACTCTTTTGTACGTTAGATTACATTTTATAAATTGTTTATTCTAGTATTTAAATTTTATTGTTTGAATTTATTTCCGTAACTATGTTTATCGATTTACTGTTTGTTCCCATGATGATGATTATTATGATTTTTTTTAATTTTCAAATGGAAAACAGAACCATAGCATTCTTGAATAATGTTAATTTAACTTACAATATAAATATTACTATAATTGACTTATTTCTTATTATGGAATTATTTCGAAATAAATTGATATCAATAGTGAAACTATTGAAAATTACCAATATTGTTTTAATATCAGAAGGAGTTTTGTGGATATTATAGTTGAGAACATGAGTCAATCGTTAGGCGGTCGCGAGCAAGATTAATAGGTCCTGGGTTTAAATCTCATTAGGGGCGGTGGGATCGTGGATGCGCACTGCTAAGGATTTCCACAATAGGACGAAACGGTCGTCTAGTGTTTCCGGTTTTTCCATAGTGGTCTAGCTTCAAATGACTCATGATATCAACTATTAAAAATATTGTTTTAGTTCAGTATTACTCATTAGTTTATGTACCATGATAGTATTTTATCATGGATTGCTTGAAGTGTATAACTCTGCCTGGGGCACCTCAGAAGCTACTGCCGGTCTCAAGCCCGGATGAAGGAAGAGGGTTAGGCATGGGGTTAGCGACCCCATCCAGTAGGAAACTAACTCGCTAGAAAAACGTTGACCAGAAAAGCTTGAAAAGTGTAACATAGATAGTTTGATCCTGGTTTGTCTGTTGAATGAACATGTTTTTGTTGATTAGAACGTATTATATGGTTTGAAACTGGTTAACAGATATATTCACTCTTAAAATGTTTACTGACGTATACATTGTCCGATTGGTTATATTTGATATAGACCAGGATATTCGATAATGTTTATTTGATATTTACTATTTCATCACCATACATCTCAGTCCTAGGATATGATGACTATGTAACACTGTCTATCAGATTCAAGCTTATCAAAACTTGACTAGCGATCTTAGTTACTTTTAAATATGACAATCTATAGAAAAAAATAAGAGTGTTACATCATGGAACAATGTTATCAAAGACAATCGCTTGTGTTTTAAGTACTGAATATAACTTATGTAATAGTCTTGGATACAATAAGAAACAAAAATCTATAGAAGACAATGCTTACTTTAAGAATATAGAACTGAATTTAAAACAATAAGAGAATAAATGACATTAACTGTTTGTAAAAGTAAAGACAATTGGGAAATGGTAAAATAAGCGAGTGAATATAAATCTTTTTTACATAGAGGTCAGGTTTCAACTGGTTAGTTGGGATAGCTTTAGCTTTTTTGAACCAGTTGTTTTACTCCATAGATATTCCTCAACAATGATTATCGAGGAGGTATGTGGCTAGAGTTCATCATATGTTTAAGGAATAAGCTGTTGTCTGGCTTACGTTCACCTTTAGGAACCCACACATTGAAGAGCTTTAATACACATATCCACTTTTATTTAGGTTAACCACTATGAAAGTCTGCATAACCCTCATTCTTTGATTGTAAAATTTATTAAATGTAATCTTATAATCCTATATAACATTTTGACAAATTCCTCATAGTGGAAAATAAACATTATCGATATCAACACTTAGATTTGTGTGGTGTCCTGTTTTTCTCTTTTACCTTTAATTATCCTAAGTAATAGTAAACACTCTATTAACACCTGAAGTGACCAATAAAAACTCAGAGTTGACTCGAGGCTGTTAGTACTTTTTGACACATTATTGATTTAGCACATGGATAAAGTCATTAAAGTTGGTATCCTGATAAGCAATTTTGTCACGTGACATTCGACGGACCACAGAAAATAATATCACTGATAGAAATAACTGAGGAAGATAATTGAGATCCTTGAGTAAATGGTTTCATAACATTTAATTCAGTGTAATATATTTTAAGAGATTAAAACTGATTAAATGACAAATTATTCTACAATAAAATAACGATCAGTCAAAAATGATTTCTGTCAATTCGGCATCAAGCTATACGTAGATTAACAACGTAAGAATAGAAGGACGTGGTTTTGCGTTCTCACATATAACCAAACCAGCGCATAACTTCAATTGCTTATTGAAAATTAAAATATAAACTGATAGAAATCTGTATTACCAAAAGTTTACATATTGTATCAGCAAGTTGATTAGTAATGAAATCAATTTAGTTACAATAGAGTTAATATTAAAGAGTAAACATTAAAGAATATGAATATTTATTGAATTACGCCTGTTTTCCATCATGGCGAAGTATAGGCAGCCCACCAGTACTCTCCATCCAACTCTGTCCTGAGCAATGATTTCCAGTTGTTTCCAGTTCTTATTCATCCTTTTCATATCTGCTTCTATTTCCAGACGTAGTGTGTTCTTTGGCCTACATCTTTTCCATTTCCCTTCAGAATTCCAAGTTAGGATTTGCCTCGTGTTGCAGTTTGATGATTTCTTCAATGTATGTCCTATCCACTTCCAACAAAGACTATGATTAAAAACGAATAAAAAGAAAATCGGAGAATCAAAAGTATTCAATAATAATAAATTAAAGTAGTATATTTGCATCACTTGATTCATGTTAACCTAAATTTCTGAATATTTCTGATGGTTACAATTGGAACCTTAAATATGCTCACCACTTTTGCTTCTTCGATAATACCTCGTTTTGTATACACATCTCAAACTTTGATCATTGACCGATAAACTAGAACAAACATTCACCAAATGGGAATATTTTTCTATTTATCTGTCCACCTTTTTATTTAACGTCACACACAAGAACAAATGAATGTTTTATCCAGATTACAGCCTACTTAATTCTATTCACAGTTGGAGATTACACAAAACGTAACACAAAATTTTCATGACATTCCCAATTACACGTAATCAGCATAAAACATGATGAGATTTCAAATGAATTTACATTAATGCAGAAGCTATCATTGGTGAATCTTGTGTGACAATTTAGAGCAGATTTCAGTCACTAGTTGAACACTTGAAGAATGATGGAAATGGTGAGGGTAATTCTGGAGTCACACGGAGAATGAATGTGATAGAACTAATTGCATTAGGTTGTCATCCAACGTCACAATTTGAAAGGAAAATAAAATATTGTTGTTGGTTCGGTATATTCTATCAAAATCAACTGGATTCAGGAAAAGAGTAGTGAAGCTGATTTGATCTGTAGTAGTGAAGAAAAATTACTGAAGACCATTATCTCCATTTATCTGTTAATCTCATAATCACTTTGATTCATATTAACCTGAATTTCCAACAATCTGTGATGATCACAATTTGAACATTGAATCTGGTCATTAATATATTTATTGACGGAGATAAATACAAGTTAATTGCCGTTCTTGGAAACACTTTTTGTGAAAAATCACAATTTAATTGTCTAGGAAACATGAATTGTGTCGGAGTTTAGTAATATTTTGTGTTAGAAATACTAAACTGTTGAAAAAGGCAACAATATGATGGTAAATTACACAACCATCTTTATTATTCCATTAGGTATACACCGGTCGGATGATAATATTGATTCTACTATTAGAACCATTAGAATGGAATGTTGTAATTAGAAAGAATAACCATTTTACAGACTTTTTTTTTCAATAAAAAGAGCAATTCAATTCATTAAATACCATGACACAACATAATTAATTAGAAATATCTTCATTTAAAATACTTCGTACTTAGTTATTCTTTATCTCTCTCTCTCTCTCTCTGTCTTGTTGTTACTGAGAGTAAATGAGATTGACGATCGATAAAATCAATTATACTGTAGAAGTCTAAGTATAAACATTCGGACATATATTTATTTTGAATAATAACTAGGTAATGACATTGTAGTGAACGTGAACACAAATTGGGAACAAGTGAATGTATTTGAATACAACATAACAGAATCTGTTAGCAAATACTTCATTTGAAAAATATCAGTCGATCGTCTCAGACTTCATTGCTTCTTCGTTTTCACACCAATTATTCTCTGCTCTCATTCTTTTTTCTTTGATCTTCTTAACTTTCTGACTCCAGGTATTTTACTTTCGATTGATGATGCATACTACTCATATCTATCGACATCAGTAGCATACACCTAAGTAAGACTAACAAATGGTGAGATAATAATCCTGAAGAAATACATGTACTATAAAGTTTAAAGCTATTTTTTCTCTTAATGAATCCATAATTCTAACTGAGGATAATTTATTTTAATAAAGATTTACACCATTTAGTAAAATTGTTTAATCGATTGTTTCAATAGTTGAGGTCATGGGTCAATTGAAGCTTGACCACCATGGAAATCCTGCAAGCACCGAACGGCCGTTTCGTCCTATTCTGGGACTCATTAGCGCTCGCGCTCGAGACTGGTAGGTCCTGAGTTCGAATCTCGCGAGGCGGAAACGTTGATGCGCACTGCTGAGAAGTCCCACAATAGGAGGAGAAAAACAGCCATCCAGTGCTTTCATGTTTTCCATGGTGATCTAGCTTTAAATGACTCGTGATCTCAATTATTGAAATTACTATAATATCCACAAAAATCCCTTCTGATATTAATCGATTATTTTTGTTTTAATTAAATCAGTAATCTTTTAGTTTTATTAATTATAAAAATCAATAAAAAGTTAATTGAAATTTCTCATATATATCGATTTAAACTTTACTTATCTCATTATAAGTAAATATTTATTGGTGTATATTAACTTGAAAGAAATTTTTGTTGCCAACTGAATATAACTCGGAAACATATATTTAGTGTAATGTAATTCAGCAAAGAAAATTTTCTCTTTTTTTTTTGTTGTTGTGGATTTCATTTACTTAAGCTAAAATAATGTTCTGTAATGAGATATAAATATGTCAAACATTTAAAAACTCGATTGATGATAGATTTTAATAGCTCTTAAATAGTGTCGAATTTTTGATGGAGTTTGTTCTCTGAGCTGGATGGTTTGGTCGTGGAGCTTTCATCGTTCTTCTGAACGAAATCATCAGCACAAGTGTCAGTTAGAAGTGTCGAATAGTAGTAGTAGTGTCGGGTGTCGTAGTTTAATGGTGTAACTGTTCAGTCTTCATCGTCGTTTTAAACAAACAGAAGTAAACACTTTGAAATTATTCTGTTATTTCTAGAACTTAGATTCTTAATATACCGCGTACAACTTGATCACTTGAACACTAGAAAGTCGCAAATGAGAAGACGGAAGACAAATGAAAGGAATGCTATTCCGAAATATTCTAAAAGTACTAAATTAAACTTTTCTGATGACCTTATTTGTAACTAAATATCTTCACAAACTATTGTTTTTATAAGTCTTTGAACTAACTACTCTATTCATGTGATCGATTAATATATCTCATATGGACTGATACATTAAACTTACATAGATATGTATATTGACTGAATATCTATTAAAATATCACCTGAAGAGGTCATGGGTACACAGGGTTTAACAACACTTCTGCCCAAAATCTCTTTTTATACAGCGATCCCAAACCCAGTAATACAAGGCGTCAGGAATGATTGTGTGTAAACATACATTCGGATTAAAGAACTATGTATTTTATTTGATGGAATCCAAATTAACTGGTTGTCTTAGGAGATACCCATCATATGATACCCAGACGTTTTCTGGTACTTATGCTTGATCAAGTATTTCCAACTAGGGGTATTTACAGTAAAACTGATAAGTTCAACGTCTATGTCAAAGATATACAGAGCTATTTATTTTGAAGATCTATTCATCATTACAGACCATTTTGGAAATTCTTAGATTCTTCAATCCAGATATCTAATAATTTCTCAATTAAATCTATATCCATTAATACACTGTGTCGTTCTACCATTTCTTTATGTTTTTGTATGCTCAGGATCAAGTAATTAAAGAAGTAATTTTGTGTCATTCAGTTTGCATTAAATAAAATGAAGTGACATTTAAAGTTCTTATAGAGATTTTTGTACAATTTTTGACATTATTAGCATAATCTGTTATCGATGAACACAATAACAACAATAATATATGACTGAGAATTTTTCAAAACAGGGATGCGATTTCCACCATGATCTGACATTACAAATTGTATGAGGCACTGAGTTATGATTCATTGAGTACATGGTGTATCAGCCATCCATGAGGGGTTGGTCAAGCCTCACTTAAGAAATTCGATTGAAAACTGTTAGAACCCCATGGATATTGGTGTGCGAGAGTCACATATGGTACTAGTATACGTTACACATACATCGGTAACATATAAGTATTAACTTATGCATCTTATGGCAAACACACATTCATACTCGCCCCTTTTAAAGGGTTGATGCTCACCACTCTCTTCACTCGTATTTGCTACATCTTATACGGTATATGCACACCAGAGGAACAGAAATGTATGATTAGGCTCATAATACATTCAGGTACATGAATGAACTTTTTTAATTTGAGCAGGCCTATGTTTTCGTTCATGTAAAGGACAGACATGTTTTCGTCATGCGGCAGACTGTCTAATCTAGCTCAGTCCAGTGGATCCCCAGGCGTACCCTTCGGGTATAACCTACATGCACAAAAGACACAAGCCAAAGAGCATGCAGTTCATGTATATAAGCATTCATAAGCGGCAGCCCTTGACACCAGACAACAATGTTTTGTGATGGTGAAGGTATGTAATACAGCTGGATGATTTGATCGTGAGTCCTTTTTTTAGAAATATGACCCAACCATCCAGTTCAGAGAACGAAATTCCATCAAAAACAAGGTTTTATCTTCTAATTCATATGGATCTATGTTTATCCTCTTCTGAATACTTTCAAACTAGGGATACAAAGTTGTCCACTGCATTGTAATATTCAATACCCGATAAAAATTACTTTGGAACTTAGAACAGTATTTCATTATAATAATTTTTATAAGATTGATTAATTTAAAGATTTTTGATTAAATAAATGATAGATGTCTCCTAGAAACTATGCAACGATAATATTCTTTGGCAAATAATACAAAAGTAATCTAACTGAACAACGATATATATTAAACAGTTTCATAGTCTTTTTAAATCTGAAACAAATGTTTTCATTTCTTTCCGTCAGTCGATCAATCAATCAATAGTTTATTATTTTTGCTCTTGGAATGTTCTCTTTACACTAATTGATTGCTTCAATATTTACGGGTGATGTCAGATACATTATGTGTAGAGTTATGAGGTAGAATGACTTTCATTAAAATCCTGAAACGATCATTGTTAGACCACCATTGAAAATCTGGAAGAACAGGGCGGCCGTTCCGTCTCAGTATGGGATTACTCAACAATGTTTATCGACGACCCCACATGAGATACTTGAACCCAGGACGATCGATTTCGCCAGTAAATGCTTCACGTCTAAACCACTGAGTCAGCATCAACAGTGTTAATGAATAATTTCAGTCGATTCATGATATTGCGCAACCGTCCATCCATTATCTGAGGTGAATAACTGCCTCACAATGGAAACGGAGT